TATTTTGAATATTCCTAAAATATCAGAAATAGGTGACATTAAATTTCTAAGTGTCTAAAAATGAAATATTTTTTAGTGATTTTTAGGAATTCCATCTCATAGTTTTAAATCCATAAAGCCAAGGAGCAAATTCCTCTATAAGGGTGCAAAATTCTTTACTTAAAATAAACACCCATAGCTGCATCATGTTATGCTAGAAAAATAAAAGTGTTCTTTTGCTTTATTGGGAAGTTTGAATAAGACATCTGTGCTTGGTCACCATTAAGAGCTAATCCATCCAGCCATGGCAATACAGTCTTACAGTCCCAGCACTCAGGAGGCTGAGTGTATTAGTTACCTTTCTGTTGATATGATAAAATACTGTGATGAAAAGCAGCTTGGGGAGGAATAGGTTTATTTCAATTTATAGTTGAGGGGTAGAGTCTTACATAGGGAATGCATGGCAACAATCAGGAAAAGGAGGATGGCAAGAGGCAGAAAAAGAACAGGAAGCAGAGGGAGGAGGCTATGAATCCCCAAAGTGGTCCCCAGTCATCTGCCAGCAAGACTTTGCCTCCTAAAGGTTCCATAACTTTCTCAAATAGAACCACCAACTGGAGACCAAGTGTTCAAATACACGAGCCTACAGGGGACGTTTCTCATTCAAACCTCTGCACTGAGGTTTGAGTCCAACCTGAGCTGCAGAGTGAGACTAGCACTCAAAAAACAAGCAAACAACAAAAAAGTTCATCTTGGCTGATCTTGCCCCTTTAATAAGTGTGTTATTTGTTAATTTGGGGATTGCCTATTATCTGGAAATCTCCTGTTTATTTGAACTGGCTGAAATTAATCTTACTCATTCTTGTCAATTTTTAGTCTTGATGTGCACTGTGGTTGATATCAAATCAGTCAATGCTGTATGGCTTGAAATAATACAGTGATATACGAGGAACTAAAAAAGAAAACTAACCAGAAAGGAATGATTATAATACTTGAAAAATGTGAGATTAGTGAGAACCATGCTGCATTCCATTTGTTTCTACATTCTGTTCCTTTTGTATAAACAGCTCCTCAGGTCATTAATTTCAGGAACACTGCTATCCAACAATGCATGTGAAGCCTGTGATCAGCCACTGCCAATGTGGTTGGGAGGAGGCCAGCTATCATAGGATGTAACAAAGACCTGCAGGTGGAAAATGTAAACAGCGATGCCTTGCCTGGCAAAAAGACCAAGAGATCACAGAGCAGGGCAACATCTTCAGCAGATGCAAAGGTGAGGCATTTTGTCCACTATGATCAGCCCACCACAAATATGTCTCCTTGTTCTACTATTTTATGAGCTCCACGTGGGAATTTTGAAGGAAAGAGACTGGTTTGGCCTCCAAATTGCATTATCAAAACCATGAAATGTTTAAAGATAACTAAAATTAACCAAAGGGTATGATGCCTGAGCCATATAGTATGGATGCCACTGGCAAAAAGAAATAATAATCCTTCACTCAGGAAAGAGGAGAAGAATAAACACAGCACATTTTCCTTCATTTTGGGCTTTTTAGGGAAAGGATACATTTAATTAAAAGTAGAAGCTTTAAATAGGAAAAGATTTTGATAATTCCAACATACACATGCAGTAAAATTTGTAATACTAGCAGTGTGTACATTGCTCTGGATGTCTTCATTCACAGCCTTAACGGCTCAATGGCCTAACGAACATTATCAAGGCTTTGGTGTTAAAACATCCATCGACATTTCTTTAACAAAATATATCACTCATCTTTTAAATTTAAATATATATAAAGAAAAAATTAGCCTTAGAAATCAGCAAACAATGAATTACCTCATTTTCCTAGGGAAGGATGCTTGTAAGGTGTACCATAAAATACAGGCAATTGCATTTGACCTTTGGCAGTGTGAACATAAATATATATAATTTTTTATAGATTCACTTCTTCTGCCCATCCTCCTTCCATGTTAAGTACTGAGGCCCCAGGTCTATATAGCTCATGCTAGATTGTTGCTTTAACACTATGTCCCTAGCACACTTTTCACTTTTTACATTATAAGATAGAGACCTATATAGTTGCCCAGGCTGGCACTGAATTCACTCTGTAACCAAAGTAAGCTATGAATTTGTGATCCTCCTGACTCAGCCATTGGGGGTAACTAAAATTGCAGGCCTATGCCATCAGGCTTATAGATTTACCTTAAGCTAACTTGAATTTGAATCTTAATCCCATTGACTGGATTTTGGGTAGCTAAAGATAATGTACTACTGTGAATTTTCAAAAATGTGCTCAGAATTGATACCCACTACATACAAAGCACTAGCATAAACAGTGCTTTGAAAATATTACCTTAGAATTTATATATTATGCAAACAGATGTAATTTTCAAATAACCGGTAAAGTACTCATAAAAATTGTTTATTTTAATGAACAACAGTGATTTCATATGTCCATAATAGGCCAGTTTTCTTAGGCCGTAGCTATAATCAAATGTCATTTATCTCCTCTCTGTGCCCCAACAAGTGAAAAATGTGCTGAATTTCCTTCATTGATCCACAGAGAACGACAATCACGAAACTCAATGTTTTAGTATATTCGCCTGTAAAGACAGGAATGTTATATATCTTGTGAAATTTGTAATTCCAGGGCTTGGAACATGTCTTGAATATGTTCTAGACACAGAAACAAGAATCTTAATCAAGAAATATCAAAATATATGGAAGATAGTGTTTTTTGAAAAATATTTTGAACTCAGATGTAAAGAGTGGCCGGATTTTAGACGACTGTGGACATTTAGTGCTAACGAACAGCCACAGGTTATTCTACACTGCTTATTTGCTGTGAGTCCCAATTGCTAACAATTTTGTTTTGAGCCTTTAAAAGGTAAAGAAATGGGCTTTTCCTAATAGGAATTGCAGTTACTAGCCATCTACAAAAATGAGTGTAAAGAAATAATGACAAAATAAAAATATTCAAACCTTACCACAAAATCATAAATATATCAGTCACTTCAATGAAGTCTCTTCTTTTTCTAGAGATGGTTCATCTTTTAAAGCTACTTATATCAATGAGGCAAAACTGGCATACATCTGAGTTTAAAGCATAGTCAAAACAGGAAATAACAATTTACTTCGTATGTAACATATTGCAGAATTGTTCACATTAACTCAGTTATCCATGACCATTTGCAAATAAGTATGCTATACTGCATGTATAATAGAGCCATGATAAAATACACTGTGTTTTAGCATATATAACGAAGCTGTGATAAAATAGCAACTTGATCCCACAGCACTGAGTACCTACTGTGTGACCAATGCAGAGTCAACTGGAAGCTCTGTGATACCTGTGTCTCTGATGCATCATAAATCACAGTGTTTGCGCTACATGGTTAACATTTTTCTACTAGGACTCAAATGAATACAGCCTCTTTACATGATTTATTTAAGTAAGTAAAAGAGTGTGGCCAATTCAGGATTACCTCACATTTATTTAGCAACCCGGTTTCTTGCAGCCGTGACCAGATGCTCTGTATTCGCCCAGCGTGCTCAGGGTGGGTGGTGGAATTGCCACAGATGCACTGGTGTTTCAGCATCAGAGGGTCATAGGCAATTCCTTTGAGACAAAGAAAACACAGTCGGAGGTTGAGTAATGAAAGAAGGTGATGGTACACATTAGAAGATAATATCATTAGTCCAAAAACTCAGACTCCTTAAAATAAAATTTGCAAAGAGAATCCATATCAGGAATTATTGGGACTACATAACAGCTCTTTGGTTCTGTACATGTATCCAAAAACACCAATCTATGGATTAACCAGCACTCGAGCTTCAGTTAGTACATCCATAATGAAGATGGTAGTATTTTAAGAAACTTCAGATTTAAAAAAATCTATACTGTATTCCTATCAATATTTCAAATAATTGTGAACTCATTTCAGGCAGATAACTTATTTCAATATATGTTTTAATTTTATCACTGAGGTTATAAACTGAGAAGGCTTTTAAAATCTTGTAATTACATAATGAGTACATATAGATTAGGGTTCTTTCTTGGAATAAGCTGCAGGAATTTCCAATTTTTTCTCCCTAGTCTGTTTAGCAATACCATCAATTTTACACAGTAAGTTTCTCGGCTTATTTTTATTTCTCTTATAATTTATGCCATTACGCAAGTAATATGGCTATTGTAGATCTTATAACATTGTGAGATGCTTGTAGTATTTCTTTTAAAAATGAGTATAATCATAATTCCTTCACTATAGGTTTTATAGATAATGAATAGAATTTAGCATCAAGTGTATGTGATGTTTTAGTTAGACTCCATGATGGGAAAAATGTGTAAAAACTTGATGAAATCAATTATTATGGGAGCATAAAATGGGACTTTTAAAGTAATAAATTATATTACAAAATAAGCTCTGGCTTACTCTAAGATTCTCACCCATAAAACTATTCCTTGGAGTCAAGGGACCTTGTTATTTAAAAAATTGCCTGATAAAAGAAATTGTTTAGCTATTCAGCATCTTCCAACAAATAACCATCAAATGCACTTTCCAGGGGCAGGAGAATCAAGTATCCATGATAAGAAATGCCAGCCATCTCTTTTGTATCATAAGTTGACTTAAATGAATTGTATTTTCCCTTTGCGTTACATTATTGTATTAGAGAAATGTTACTAAAGATGGGAAAATGCTTTCCCTCGTGTGTACTAAAATATGCAGAAGAATGACATATGTTTTTGAAGCCATGTGGTAAAAATTATGTCTGTCAAAAAATATTGTCTCACTGGCCCAAATAATATCCATTCTTAAGATTCAAATGGCTTCAAAGCCCATCCGTATGCTGGTCCCTGACCTCCTGGCAGTTTTCTCTTCAGCCCTGATCTCTCTTCTGGGTAGCAGACTCCCACACTTACCTATTTGATTGCCCAAATCTCCACTTGAAGGCTTCATGGTTTTCATAAGAATGAAGACCTCTGATTTTCAATTATTGGTTTTAAACCACACACAGTGCTCATTTTCACAAGGGACATCAAGATCCTTTATTGCTCATGGGAGAAACCCTAGTGTCTCTTGACATTTCCTCTCCTAGGCTCTAAAGGTGTATCTGTTTTCCCTCTAAAACAGATCTTGAATCATTCAGGTCTTATCTCTGCTGCTCAAACCATACATAATCCAAAGTACTATTATCTCTAACCCAAACTCCCTCCCGAGATAACCTGTAACTGGCTACTTGACTTTCATTTTGTTCCATTCACCATATCACAGTAGCCACTTTACCCACATATTTCCCTTCAAAATTTCATTAACATCATAGATAACTCCCTCCTCACCTCTTTAGTTTTTTTTTTTTTCTTTTCTTTTGATCTTTTTGACACAGGGTAGCCCTAGCTGGCTTGAAACTGGCTATGTAAATCAGGCTAAACTTGATCTCACAGAAATCTACCTAACTCTCTGCCTCTGCCTTTGCCTCCCAGTGGAGTGCTGGGATTAAAGGTATGGTAGGGAGCATTGCAGTTTCTTTTTATGTTTGATTTCTGTTTCTACAATAGAGGCTTTTCTTATGTTCCTCAAAAAGGTCAAAATCCTAAGAGCTTGAGACTATACATGCTATTCCATATATGTCCAATATTCTGATTTCTATAACCCTAGTCCTCAGTCAGCTGATTCTTTGGATTCCTCAAGCTCATTTTAAAGTCACCATCCAAACAAAATGTTGCCATTGCCTGAGGTCTTTAACTCAGATAGTCCACCCCTGTATCTGACCTCATAGCTTCCTTTAGGCTCCTAGGGCTTCTTTAGAGCACTGATGAAAATTATGCAATTGGTGTGTGATTTTTTTCCTAGTGCACTTTCTTCACTAGAATGGAAGATTCGTGGAAGCACAGGCAACGGTTGTAGTGTTTAATTTTTGAACTCCCAGTTTCTGCAGTCATGTTTGGAAAAAGGTGGGTCCTCAAAAGTATGCACAATGAATAAATGAAATGCCTAAGTTAATAGGTTCAAGAACTAGCTTAGACATTTCCATAATTCAGCCTTCCTTGGTGAATTCAATCAGTGGATCTTCTTGGCTTTTGGAAGTTGATGTGGCTTACTTCATTAATATTCTACCCTTTATTTTATATGCCTTATTTTCTAACCAGAAAGTACCTCCACTATATGCATTTATTTTTACCTAGTTTATGTTTATACAAAGCATTCTTCACAAATTTCACTGTTTTCAATTTTGTACGAAACCTAATTGGAATGAATATTATTAAATCAAGTCCAAAGGAAGAGATTAAGAAAGGCAGAAAAGAAAGGAGGCAGGCAGAAAGGAAGAATTACACTCAAAATGCAAAAGTCACAGATTAGTCTTCATAATTCATCTTTATCAAGTGATTTATGAAATACTATTAAATGAGAATTGTTTACCATATTTCAACTTTTGTTACATACTCTGATAAATGATATAATAATACAGAAACAAAAAGTATAATATCTGCCTTGTGTTAGAAATATATTCTTCAAGAGTACAAATTTTAATCATTATGTTGCTTTAACTTCCTCTGTTCCTTTTCTCCACGAATCTAAGCTCACTTGTATGGTAATTTTCCCTCTTTTAGCTTTTCTCCATACCCACTGCCAAGAAAATGAAAATTGTAAAACAAGTTGTGGTAACTACAAACTATTGCAGGTATCAGGAGCTTGCAATACAAACTCCAGAAGCTCTTGGAAAGACATTTGAATGAAAGAGGAAATAAATAAAATCTGGAACCCCAAACCTCCACTGACTCATCTCAATGTTGTATCAATGAGGTGCTAACAGGTAGACTGTCAGGTTAGACAGCAACCTCTTCCTTCATCACCATTCCTTTCCTTTTCTTTTTTTTCCTCAGAAACAAGAACTTACAGGGTGAGAAAACAGCCCGCACTTATCTTTGAGAATTCTATATTTTTTTTACTCTTTCTGCCCAACTGTTTACTATTTAAAGCCTAAGCTAATGGATCAATCTTTACTATGATCAATGAAACAAGAGTTAACATTATGTAAAGGAATCTTAAAATCTTTACCTGTACTGTAAACTTTAGTAGTAAGATTAGTACAACACATGTACAAAGGCACACATGTGCACTCCCAAACACACAAATATGAACAAAACAACTCCTGAACAGTTTGGGTAACATTTTAGATAAACGTAGGCTCTGTGTTTTCTGTGCATCTCATTTTATTAAGTGAGATGATGCATTTGAACCATCAAGTGTAGTTTCTCTCCTGCCCTCAATCATTACATGTAGCTAAGTGAGTTTTCAGTCCAAGGAATACATTCATGTCTACAGAAGCAGACCCAGTCTAGTAACTCTCAGTTCAGTTTGGCTGCATCTTCATGATCAACTAGGAAAGCTGAGCTGAACATCTTTAGACCAAGACCTACTAATGCTGTTTCCTAGCTCCCAGCATTCCACTTCTTCCACTTCTGGTACCAACCTGAAGAGTCAGACCTTCCCGGGGCATTTATTAAGTAACATTTATTAAACAGTTATTATGACCAGGAATCTGGACCAAAAGCTAGCACAGTGCAAATATTGATCTAGTATATCTCCTCAAAACATATGTGTGGTGTATGATTTCCCAATGAGCATTGCATTCCAGCAGTTTCATTTAATCACATTTAACATATGATCTAATAAAAATAAGTCAAGCACAAAATAGTTACATGAAATATATAGTTTTAAAACTCTCTGAAACAGTGATGAAAAAAATTGTGTGGTCAGAAATCTCTTTAAAAATGTTTTTGCAATAACAAGCAGTGTTCTTAACCGCTAAGCCATCTCTTCAGCTCCATCTCTACATGGCAGCTAACAACTGCCTGTAACTCCAGTCCCAGGGGATCTAACGGCCTCTTCTGATTCCGTGGGCATTGCACAACATGGGTGCACTTACCTACATGCAGACATTACACACATACACATAAAATTAAAAAAATGTTTTTAAGAGTTCATGGAGAGATGGCTCAGCAGTTAAGAGCACTGACTGCTCTTGTAGAAGACCTGGGTTTGATTTCCAACACCCACATGGTGGCCAACAACCATTTGTAATTTCCGGTCCAAGGGATTCTATGCCTTCTTCTGACCTGCAGGCACTGCACAACATGGATGCACTTACATACATGCAGGTAATACACTCATACACATAAAATGAAAATAAATAAGTAAATAATAAATAAATAAATAAATACAATATTAAAACAAAGTATTTTTAAATGACAGAATGGCTGACAAATGGTAGGATTGCTTAAATAGCATAGTGGACCTCAGACATCCCTCTATACTCACAAATTCTACATCGACCTATTGAACCAACTATGAACTAAAGACATTGAAAAAATAATGCCCCTGTGCTGAGTGTGTTCAAACATATTCCCTGCTCTTTCTCTGAAACAAACACTAGAACAACTACTTACATAGTACTTACATTTTATTAGGTACTGTAGAAATCGAGAGATGATTTAAACAAATTCACACATATGCAAATGCATTCCATTAACTCTCAGGACTCCTGCATCATTGGTGCTCGGACACCCAGATAGACTGTATTATGAAAGAAGTGTCATTTCTGACAAACCCCAGTTTT